TGCCACCTGTACCACGACCACTACGGATCGGACCATCGGGCAACCTATTCGGACTGGTCCCTCCAGCCGGCCCGCAGTACCGGTCGCAATCCTCAAAAAGCGTACGACCGCGCAGACTGGAGACGGATCGGAGAAGCTGTCCAAGCTCAGATGTCAGGACTTCCCCCGATCCAAACGAAGGCCGAGCTCGACGACACCGTGGCGCAACTCATCTCATGCACGTCCTCCGCAGTCAACTCGTATACGCCAACCGCCAAACCATCACCATACTCCAAACGGTGATTTAACCCAGAACTGAAGATACAGCAATGCGAGGTCAACAGGGTGCGGAGGAAATGGCAGGAAAGCTGTGCAGAGAGAGGACGGCATAATGAGGTATCGGTAAGCCTATTCGAAGACATGCGTAAGAAGCGCCGGGCGTGGACGAGAACCATTGAAAAAGCAAAAACAGCCCATTGGAAGGAGTTTCTCGACAGCGCTGGGGAAGGCCACCTCTGGAAAGCAATCTCATATACACGCGCGCGAGAGTCATGCCAGCATACCACCGTTAAGACGAGAGACAGAAGAAATCACGGACCACGCAGAGAAAGCGAAGCTACTCATAGAGACTTTCTTTCCTAATATGGCGCAGCCAGAGGACGAGGCACACACGGAGCAGAGAGAAGAGATACCGTGGGCGTCCCTCACAGAAGAAGAGGTCCACCGGGCCCTCCAGGCTGCCAAACCCATGAAAGCACCCGGAGAAGACGGACTGCCAATGCTAGTATGGAAGCAACTGTGGCAATGGCTGAAGGAAGCGATTCTTCGGCTTTTCACGGCGTCCGTTAATCTAGGATACTATCCAGAACAGTGGAAGCGAGCGAAAATAATTGTGTTGCGGAAGCCAGGGAAACCAGACTATACCATCCCTGGCGTGTACCGTCCGATCTTTCTCTCGAACACACTGGGCAAGATCCTCGAAGCCGTCATAGCCAAAAGACTGTCGTACTATGCAGAAACACACGGCCTGTTACCAAATACGCAGTTTGGCGGCCGACCGGGTCGCAACACCGAACAGGCTCTCCTTGTTCTGAGGAATGCCATCGACCGAGCGTGGCTCTCATCGAAAGTGATAACACTGGTCACGTTCGACCTTAAAGGGGCATTCAACGGGGTCAACGGGAACACCCTCGACCTACAGCTCAAGGCGAAAGGCATCCCAACCAAAATGCGAACCTGGGTCGCCAGTTCCATGCATGGCCGGTCAGCGAGCATCGCATTGGACGACTTCGAACCCCCAATATGCGCGCTGGAGAATGCGGGCCTAGCACAGGGCTCACCCCTGTCACCAATTCTGTTCATTTTCTTTGACTCCAACCTGGTGAACCAGCCAGTGGACTTCTACGGAGGCGCATCCGCGTTTATCGACGATTACTTTCGGTGGCGCGCAGGGAAATGTGCAGAAGAGAACCTCAAGAAGCTCCAGGATGAGGACATCCCCCGCATAGAGCAGTGGGCCCAGCAGACAGGATCATGTTTTGCCGCGGAAAAGACCGAGCTCATCCACTTCACCAGAAAGAAGGACGAGCAAACTAGAGGGCAGCTAGCAATGCAAGGCGCAACTATCAAACCCTCAGCAACAGCCAAGCTGCTCGGAGTGGTTTGGGACCGCGAGCTAAGATGGAAGGAGCATGTACAGCAGGTAGTCAAACGGGCGACCAAGGCCAACATTGCGTTGGCAGGACTTCGGCATCTCCGCCCCGGCCAGATGAGACAAGTCTACCAGGCGTGCGTGACACCCATCATGGACTACGCGTCAACGGTCTGGCACAGCCCCCTCAAGGACAAGAGACACCTCAAATGGCTCGACACGGTACAACGATCGGCCTTAATTCGAATCTTGTCTGCATTTCGAACCATCGCAACGGCAACGATGGAAGTGGAAACATACATACTACCGACGCACCTGCGACTCAGGCAGAGAGCACAGAGTGTCATAGTCAAGCTGTGTACACTTCCTCGTAGCCACCCAATGCACGACGACTTGGCAAGGGCCCGGAGGTGACGCGATAACGTGGGGGCCCGGTGTCGGTTCCCCCTCGCCGAGTCAATGAAACCGATGAACGTTGAACAACTGGACGGACTGGAAACAATTGACCCGAAACCAAGGTGCCCGTGGAGCCTCCCTGCCTTTGTGGAAATCGACATCGAACCAGACCGAGACAAAGCGAAAGACGAGGCCACGGCCCTAGCAGCATCACCCGGCATAGTTGTCTACTCGGATGCATCTGGGCGGAACAACCAGCTTGGTGCAGCGGCAGCGCAGTTGAATGAAAACCAGGAGGTAGTGGAATCCCGGCAACTCTCTGTAGGCCCGATGACAAATTGGTCGGTCCATGCAGCGGAGCTCATCGGCATATTTTACGCTATTAGTCTCGTCCTCAAAACAGTCAACCTGAGGCGCAACGCCGCGATAACGCCAGAGCACGAAACGACAACAATCCTCTCCGATAACATGTCAGCATTACAGGCAATCAGGAACCCACGGAACAACTCTGGACAACAGATAATCTACGCCATCCTGCAGCCAGCCTCAGAATTAAAGGCGCGAGGCATTCTTCTCCACCTCCAGTGGATCCCAGGACACAGTGATAACCCTGGCAATGACGCAGCAGACAAGCTAGCCAAACGAGCATTTGGTTCAGACAAGATGCATCCCTTTCGCCGCCAGGTCTCACAGGAAAGGGCAGCCATCCGAAAGAACATTCACCGAGAATGGGAACGTGAATGGAAGACATCCCGACAAGGCGGCCACCTCCGGCGAATCGATGCCGAGTTACCGGCCATCCGCACGCGACGATTGTATGACACGCTGCCGCGAAATCGCGCCTACCTTCTTACTTGGATTCTGCAGAAGCATCTCGACGGTTTCGTAGCCGCGGACCAGGGGATCCGCAAGGACAGAACCGAAGGCAAATGGCTACCACAGGCCCCTAGGCGAGGCTGAAAGTTCGCCCTTAAGAAGTGGGACAATGTACAATAGAGACACCAGGGTAGAGATATAGTTGTAGTAGCCTGCATATCGCTTAGCGAGGGGTCAGGGTAAATGACACCACTACCACCACCACCGCCTAATGGGGTGGTATATGATCAGGTATACGGCATACGGTATAGGGTATATGAAAGGGTATACGGTGTATGAAGGATAGGATATATAAGGACACTCTCTCTCATGTACTTAGATAGTTCTGTTCTTCGTGCTCAATAACACTGTCTTTAAGTAACCATACATTTGGAAGCTTAGCTACAGAACACTCGTCCGCACTTACTTACGGATAGCTGCGCGGCACTATCTGGCCTTCTCTTCTATTGTCCAAGACCAGTCGCCCTTAGATAGCCACCAGTCTGATACCTCCTCGATCTAGTTCGACGGTACGTATACCAGTGAAGCTAAGCTAACAGGGATAGGGAAGCGATCCTAGGGTTTGACAACCACCTCAATACGTCATCCCGATGAATCCGACCATGATAGTCTAGCTATTCTAGCACATCCGCCTTTACAGACACTTTATACTAAATATAAAAATCTTGGAAGGCATGGTATATATTCCAATATTAGAAACCATACAATAAATTTGTTAGACTATACCTGTTTAAGAATAACAAGCGATAATAAAAAATAGTAAAATAATATAGAAAATAAGGGAAAACAAAAAAAAAAAACACGATACTATAATATCAGAAAGAGAAAAGAAATATAGAAGATATGAAAAAATCCCAAAAAGGTCTCTTATTTATATGAAGTCGTGACTGAACACTGTAAATTCTCTATTTAATATAAATCTATTCATTATTATATATATACAATACATTGTATACAGGTCATGATATACTTTATATCAGTATTCTATTGGATCTATACTTCTTTAATCTGGATTACTATATTGAAAATTGATACTCTGCTATCTTTTTCTTGTCCAATAAAATGTAAAGCTATCCCTGCTGCCGACCGAGGTGGTTCAGCCCAGCGAGAAGAGCATCATTTTTACTCGAATAATTAGTCTGCGGGTTAGTATTATTAAAATAATATATTATAGCAGCTATTAAACTCATCAGATTATTGAGCACAGTCTTATATATTTCCGCTATGTATAACATGAGGAACCTTATCATCGGGGGCTACCAATTCCTAAAGGATCGGTCTATGCTGTGGATATAGGCTACCTTTGTCATTATCATACAAATCTATAGTGTCCCGAGGCTACTTCCTTACCAAGTCAACAGGCCTTCTACCCTGACAAGTAGATCCTATCACACCAGAGTGAATAGACAAGGTGAGGAGCCAAATTGCTCAGGAGAAGATGGTCTCGCAGCGGTGACGGTGTTAGATGTATTCAACCTGGGGGGTGATGTTCTCTCGGGGAATGTTGTTCTTATACTATAGGAAAAGGCCGAATCAGTTGTTGTTGAAATATATCTCAGAAACTTTAATAGTCTGGACAAATTGAATAACCTAGCATGTCCTCGGTTGATTGTGAGTCTTAAGCCTAAGTAGTTCGGTATTGTCTAACAACCATTTATTAAGCTGACTGTTGAAGCGGGAGAATGCTCGTAACGTTAGGCAGTCTGACAAAGCAGACAGGTCGAAGCGCGTCAGAGGAAGACAGAAAACACGGGGAGAGACTACCAAAAAAAAAAAAAACCCAAACTTGACCCTTCAGAGTAAGATAATCGCTAAAACCGATTTCAGGTCTGCAAGGACGTATCAAATCCGTAATCTGCAGGGAGTGAAATTGTCAATTATCGTAGCGAACGGACTTGTATTCGTAGTGCTGTAAGTGTAAGTGCTATGAGGCTATATTACTGGAGCATTCAAAAAGAAAGACATGTGATTTCGTCGCTTCAGGCTCATTATAATGCTGCCTAGGGTCAGAATGGAAATCAACCGAACAAATCAACCTCCTACATCGTCTGCAATTCCCCCCAGTGCACTCACCATCTATAGTCCAATTCTTTTACGCTTACAGGTGCGCCTTCGATCCAGCCCTATCACGTAACTGCCGGCGCAGCATCTTCCCAGTCAAATTCCGCGGCAGTTGATCAATAAAGCGCACACCTCCCCTCAATTTCTTGTAGCCTGCAACTTCCCGTGCGACCAGATCCTGGATTTCTTTTGCTAGGCTCTCCCGATCAATAGATGCAATAGGACTACTCGGCACAACAAACGCAAGAGGGATCTCGGTCCCCTCAACATCGTCCCAGATAGAGGTGACGCCTGAGTCTTTCACCATGGGGTGTCGTCCGATTATCTCCTCGAGCTCAGTTGGGCTGATCTGGAACCTGAGAGGACAGTTAGTGTCGCAAGATCTGTGAGGAGGCTGGCTTGTTGTTGAAATACCCCTTGTATTTGATCACGTCCTTCAGACGGTCAACAATTATCAAGTATCCCTTGTCGTTCAGGTATCCAATGTCACCGGTTTTGTACCACCCAGGACCGTGCATGCTTTCGCGTGTTCCTTCCCCGTTGTCCTTGTACCCGCTGTAGGCGACACAAGTTAGGGGCAATGAATGAAGGATGTAGTTTGGAAAATACTAACAGCATAATGGTTGGCGTAGAGACAACGATCTCTCCTGGTTATCCCCGGGGCACTTCTTTGCCCTGTTCGTCCAGAAATTGGATCTTGACGTTTGCTAGTAGAGTGCCTACGGCAACGAGAGGAGCGTCCTTGTCTCTGACTCCCCTTTTTGCAATGCAAGAGGACAGTTCAGTACAGCCATATGCTATAATACAAAGTCAGTTAGGACAATACACGAGATGGATGGCAAATATCTACTTTAACATAGGCTAACAGTTGGAAATCTCTGCCGTACCTTTGACGCGACGGCAGGCTATAACCGAATCAATATAATATATGGCCAGAGCGTATGTAAGGGTCAAGGATTACCTTCAATGGTGCTGCTGAGCAGGAAAAGTATTCAAGGTCAGGATACTGGTACTGATCCACGATCGGGTTCTCCGCCAGCATAACAGCGACTGGTGGCACGAGTCGCGCCAATGTTGCGCGTTTCTCATGCATAAGCTAGCAGTCAACGTCAGTGACTAGTTTATATGATATTAACGAGGACACTGACTTGGCAGTAAGTCTCCAGCTGGAATTGGGACACCATGCACACATAATACCCCAGCCACGGACTCATCAATGCGCATACGTATAAACCGTAGATATGTGATACTTCAAGTCACCAGTCACAAATATGCCTCGGCATTCTCTGTCTTTCTGGGGTGTTACCTACAAGACTAGGGGCAAGCAAGTAGTACGTTGGAAACCTTTTCCAAGATAGGGTAGAGTATTGCATACTGGGAAAAACACCTCCCTCATAGACTCCCTCCAATTATCGGGATTATGAGCACGCAGCCCCTCACAGATTCCAGTCAAGTTGTAATGGGACAGCATAACCGCCTTGGGTAGGCCAGTTGTGCCACTCGACATTACCAGCGCAGCGCACCTGGTCCGCGCGTCCTGTCCGTCCAGCACGTACGCTTCAGGCTCCACTCGCTTTGAGTCCGATATCAGGTCGTTGGGAAACTAGAATGGTCAACGGTTTACGATGGTTTGGAAGGTGGGACAATAATCTTACGAGAAGGTGGCCGGCGAATCTGGACACCATTGTCATTATTGTCATACTATCATAGTGTTCCGAACCCAGCGCCTCGTGCAACTTCTTCTCATAGTCACCATCCACAATGAAGAACTGCGGTCTAATGATCTCAATAGCATGGGTAATCTCTTTGGCGGATGATGAGTGGTTAATTGTACTGGACATGGTTAGTAGTGCTCACAACGCCGATACGCCAAATAGAACACCAACCTGACAATCCCACCCGCCGCCCAAATAGCATGCGTTGCAATAATATAGTCCACCTGCATGTTTCCTATCAGAAAACAGCGGAAAGAAAATTGCCGAGTCCTAACATACGCAGCTCCTCGCTATAATCGTGACGGTGTCCCCTGTCTTGAGCCCTAGGCGATGCCGCAACGCCCATGCAGCCTTGAATGCATCCTCGCGCAAACTGCCATAGGTTAATGTTTTACCGGTTAAAATATCCTCACTGATGGCCTTGTTAGCATCGACGTTGGAAGGGTTTTCCAGCATCATCTGGGCAATGGACCGGTCATGGCGGAAGTGTACCGTCATATCTGATATTATGGGAGCCATGCTTAGTACTGGGGTTTGTAAATAGTAACGACCTTTGTATAATCTGTCGAAGGTAGTATGGGGAACGTATTCAAACAGCCGTGGATTTCTGATTACAGTAAGAACCGTATATATAGAGGATGGGACTATTACCAACCCCCGTATATGACTAAGCGTAATAGAGCGTAGGCCATGCTCGGTTATCCCGTCCTCATATCGGAAAAATGACGGAAATGTAGCCGCCGTGCGATCAGCTTTAAATTCCGTATCGATGCGGGGTGTTGACATGCCGGACTCTATTTAAATCGACCGGGCGAACGACTCAGCCCACAAGGCCCGCTCAGACTATGAGCTGTATCGGAATTATCATTCGGCGGATCCTGTTAGTGAATGGACAATGCAGCTGCCATGTAATTATATTTAGAAATTAGCGCAGTCGGACTGCAGTATATTGTAACGACTACTCCGATTCCTAAGATCAACAATGTCGGCCCCTAGAGCAGTTTCGACCATCGAAGAACAAATCGACGTTGGTCGTTCCCCAGGCCAGGGACCTGACGTGTTCACGAACGGTTCCTCATTGTGGCGCCCAGGAACACGTGGCAGAGACAATGGCATTTCAACTGAACTCGCTCAGCAGTGGTACCAACACTTCCTAACGTGGGACATATCCTGACCTTTCAAATTTTTTCCGTGTCCCCTAAGGGTTCAAGTAGGAAGTATGATAGTCCAGCTAGTTAATTGTAGTATAGACAATAGATCATACGTTGCTAGCACTAGAATCAACGCCGCCATCGGTATTCCAAATACACAGTCCAGGATCCAAGAATCTTTCAGATAGACTACTTGCGACTGCATCATCAGCACCTTGGTTCCCCATTGAAGAGACCAAGGCGACCACGTCCAAAGGAATGTCATCAATTTGCCAAGACAGAGGATCAAAGGTGTCTATGGATGCGGTAGTCTGCAGGCTTAGGTTTTTCGTGTGATCGTTGTCTGGTTTTGGTTCCAAATTTGCGCTGTCAACGGTAGGAAGAGAGTCTGATACCGGCGCTAAGGAGACCACTGAGTTCAGGGCTCGAAGTGCTCGCTTCGCTGTGTCAAGGACCTGCGAGAATTACTCGAGAAGTTGGTAGGCGAGCTGGAACGGCCTGATGCTGGTTCTGCGTTGCTCCTCGCTCGGTGTCGCCCGCGTGGCTAGGATAAGGTGATAGATACATTCCAGCAACGCGGTCCTAAAGAAAAAGCCACAGGGGATAATACTAGGGCATCTCTCAGTGAAGGCAGCAATGGCATCCACCGTCTGAGCGGCAAGCGAGACACAAAGACTGTGGCATTTGGTACCCTGACGCGTCTGGATCGGGTTCTGTCGAATGATCAGGCGTAAGAGGTTCAGTCTCTGGAATTTTCCGTCAGCTTATTTCACTGTGGACTGAGGAAGGGAAGAGTACAATGAAGATTGCCAGCCGGCGACTGACAAGTGGCTCTGGCTCTCGTTCAGCCAAGTACAATTGATCCAGGAGATCTGTTTCCCAGGCCAGTACGCTCGGAAGATCTCGCTGGACCACCAAAATGCGGGTGTCCATAACCTCAATTTCCTTCCAGTCCATAGGCTTTGAAGCGGCAGCAGCAAAGAAGGTATCCCAAATTAGAGACCATAGTTTGCCCAAGTCTACCAGCGCCTGCATATATCGATCGGTTCCGGCAGTCGAGGACAGCGAAAAATCCGACACCGCGACCTCGGTGTCGTGAATGAGATACGGGCTGCCTGTTCGTTGGGATATTTTGCGATCGAGAAAATATATCGTCCACCATAACTCCTTTCGGTTGCGCACGTCCTGTTCGTCCGAAACCTCCCAGGCTCCCTCTTCATTGAGCCGGGCCCGCATCGCGAGCTGAGTTGCGGTGGAGACAGCCTGCGACGCATCGTGGAGTAGTTCAGATTGCATAAGATACTCAAAACTAAGGGCGTGATACTGAATGATGTGGATATCGATGTGCTTCATCGACGAGCAGTGCTGGATTAGCTTGCGCCCCGAAGGAACAGGGACCACCCAGGGCGAATTTCATTAGAGGAAGACCCCGGTATACAGAAACATTCCGCAACCGCAAGCATGTTGCAGAGTAGGGCAACGGCGGAACAGTCCGCGGACCTTACGTCAATGATATGCTGGTTATCTGCGTGCCCCAGGCGGCGCAGCCTTGCCTGGATCCGTGCCTGGGTCCCGTCACGTTCAATAAATGGAAAGAAAGAACCCAGATCGCGAAAGTAAACATCTAGTAGTACATTTAATCTTGTTGGACGAGGAAGTTCGACCGCAAATGTACGGTCCTGGAGAGCGCTTCGTATGAAGGTAGGGCTTAATTGTCCCCTGTTTTTCGGATGCACCAGCTCGCGGATACTCAAAAGCTGAGACGAGATTGAAACACTTCTGGGACGGGCTTCCTCGACATCGTATGCGTCGGTCCCATCATCCCAGTCTGGGGATGACTGGCAGCTGTGTGCGGTACTGGGCAAGGGGGGTTTGCTGCTATTGTCAGCTCGCAAGTCAGGCACGTAACACGGGTCTCGGGGGAAAAGAACAAACCGGAAAAGAAAGGTAATGTCATTGCAGGGTGGGCTGCTCGATTGTCGTCGTGCATTTTCTTCTATTGACTCTTGCTTCTTGCCGCTTCGCAGGTTACTCGTTATCGTCTAGGAACAAGCCAAGTCGCGGAATTGGCCAGGGGGCGTACCTCCGGGTTGCAGGGCCGCATTTCGTCCCCTGTTTCCGTCCCCGTCGACACTGAGGTATGTAAATACAGTCCTGTCCCCTAGCACGGCAATTGCGACAGATTCTTTCTCCGGAGCACTGTATGCTGTGAGAACAGGCCTGTCATCAAGGTGGAGCGGGCAGGAAATCGCACCTTCACCTTGCGGCGCTGGCAATCCAGGCTGCGACTGTTGTTAGCATTACATGAACAGGATATGCACCACTATGTTAACTATGTTCAGCAAAAATACCATGCTTGTCCGATGTATTTCAGCCGCTTCCCGTCTGTTGTCCGCGAAGGTGAGGCGAGATGTCAGTCGACCAAGCCGCGCGGAGAACCGGCCGGTTCTGAAGGGTAATAGACACGGCTTCTGTCGATAGACTGGTCCATGGCGAAAGACTTGACAAGTGTCAGTAGATACTGGCTTCGTGTAGCTGAGGTAGTCCAGGCGATGTGCTCCGGCGCCACAGTGCGGGGAGCCCGGTTTATAAAATACTAGAAAATGCACCGGTGCGGGGAGAACCAGCCTCCTTACTCGTTGAATTTACTCCAAATTGGCATGACATATCCCTTCTTGCAATTTTGATAATCTACATAAAGCGTCCTCCCGTGCACTCGATGCAAGTGCCAGTTACGTACGAAGACAGCGGACTGGCCAGAAAAAGCATCACCCGCGCAGCTTCGTCCGCAGACCCAGGTCGACCGAGCGGAATATCAGACACATCTCGCCATTTCTTCGCACTTTCCGGGATCCCATGACGAATGGACTGCCCTCCCAGCATCATCGGCTTCGACTCGGTGGGCGGGCAAGTAATTCGCGTATCAATCCAACCGTAGGCCACTGCATTAGCCCTAATATTATATCTAGAGGCACACAAGAGTCAGTTTATACACTAGCGAGAAAAATATCCATAACTGCTGCACCTACCGGGCCCATTCCGACGCTATGGTCTTCGTTAGCCCGACGACCCCAGCTTTGGCCGTTGCGTAGTTGATCTGTCCCATCGATCCATGCAGGCCAGACGTAGACGACACGTTGATCACGGTCTTTGGCATGTCTTTGTGAGCCGAATCCATCCAATGGCCAGATAGCGCTCGTGTCATCCGGAACGGCACGTAGTTGTGGATTTTCATGATAATATCGAACTTGTCTTCGTCCATCTTGTGGATTGCACTATCATGGCAGAAACCTTGGACCGGTCAGTATCCACTCCTGCCCTTACTGCTTGACAACAAGGATCATACCGGCATTGTTAATGAGGCAGTTGACCTTGCCCCATCTCTGCAGTACGGTGTTGACCAACTGCGGCGGAAATTTCTCGTCAAGGACGTTGCCTGGAAAGCTTTCCGCATCGCCCTGAAATCCGCGGATTTCCCTTACCACATCCTCCGCTTTATTTATATCCAAATCATTGACGGCGATCTTGGCTCCTTTCGGGCAAACAATACCGCGGTCGCCCTTCCGATTCATTTGCCAGTAGGGTATTACTAGCGTATCGATGTAACAATTTCAAATTGCAAAGAATGCGTACCTTGAGCACCCCCCGTGATAATCACTACCTGGCCATCTAGGCGACTGGGGTCGGCGGCGGGGTCGCTAGGCTGCAGTTGTTGATGGATTTGACGCAGTCGCTCGCTCATGGTGCAGTATGATAACTAAAGAGTCAAGGCAAGAGCCCGGCAAAGGATGTTCAAGGATCATATCTCACCCCAGACCCAGTCATACCAGCCCATATAATAGTAGTGATTATTTCGTATTCCAGTTGATATCCCGAGGTTACGCATTTCTTCGGAATTTTAACCAAGGGCTGCAATTTTCCGAGCACCGGGGCCTCGGTCTGGACGTAGAATGCGCAGTCGGTCCAGCCTCCTGGTTAATTCCCAAGTCCGTCGCCACACCGAGAGCATACATAGTATATAGCCACGACCGCTCCCCAGCCACCGTTTTAGCCGGGGTAGGAGAGAGGAGCGAAATATAATAACCTTGGACGATTTCGACTGACTTGTACCCGCATGTATGGTCGTATCGCGACAACTTTTCGCCGTGTAGTCGCAGACGCTCTGCCACAGCTGCAGATGCGTGCTCAAACTGGGTCGTGAGAGCAAGTATCCAAGTGAAGAGCAACGAGGATCGAGCGCGCACAAATTCCGGCGTATGAAGCATGGGATCTAGTATCCCGTTGATTGGATGTAGTCGCGCAAAATATCTAATTGGGTTAGCTCCCTCAGGAGAAGATGTCGAACACGTACATGGGGAATAAGTAGTTTGCATCCTCCATCGTAACCAACCTCAATTCTACGGGATCAAGATCCGGACCGACATCGCGTTGCCGTACACCTGTCTGCTTAAAGTAGTCGAGGGACTGGTGGCCAGCGTCAACGCGATCCAGCAAGGCATCCAGGCCCTGCACGAGGCTCGCTCGATCCAACTGCAGCCCCAGAGAGACATACCCAGGTCGGTGAAGTAAACGGTGTCCTTCACTCTCTCCCATTTCGCGACTGTTTTGCCTCCTGGATGTTGGGCTGGTTACAGTATTTAGTGACGTTGGGCTTGTCTCCGATGCTTGTGCGGCATCAGATGCGTACGTCAACAGCGCAAGCGGGTTACTCATCGGTTCCTGAACCGGTTCTGTTTGACCTTCTATGTTTTCCTGGTTCTCGGCCTGAATCTCCGTCCCCGGTGTTGTCACTTCAGGCCCCAGAAAAAGGGTCCCAGGGGCCGCCCGGGCGTAACTTGTCTCAGGGAGTCGAGAATGGCTGGACGACTCATCCATCAAAAAGGATTGAGAATCCAACCCTCCACCAGTCTGCAGGGCAAGAGGATCAAAAGCTTCGTCAGGTCTACGCGAAAGGTTCGCCTTCTTTGCCTCCTGCTGTAGCTTCCGGTACGCCTTCTCCAGCCCGCGATACCGGCCCAACGCCCCTCGCCTCCTGCCCAGCGGTCGTGATTCGGGGATTTTACAGGCCCGGTTAGTTCTTTTACACCGGGCGCATGGATCAGACAGTGGATTCCCGCTGTTCTGCGGTGCAGCTCGTGTGCATTTCATCTGTGACGTTATCAGCGACCTTTCCCTGTCAGAGGACGGGGGCGGCGTACCTTGAGCTTCCGGCAGGCCTCGCAGGCGGGTGCTGCCCCAGGACGGGGTCTCACCTGTGAGTTCTGGTCTCTATACCCTGGAGATGACATATTCGTTGATGAGGTGTCGGGACAGTAACTTTCACTCTGAGGTCCTGTCAAGAATGCGGGGAATCGTATCGTTCTGTGGATCCCGGATTCGTTGCCTGAGGCACGGCTACAACGGTCTCCCTCCAGCTTACATATAGTGAGCTGCTCAGCGGAGCAATAAGAGACCATGCGAGTACTGGGACTGCCTGGACATCACATAACAAAGCTATTACGAATTGAAGTGCATGAAGCCGTAAGGGAAGCTTCCCCACCGCGGTGTCGTGGCTGGCCCACTCGGCCATTAAATGTATGCACCGGACGCCGGGTTGTCCCCAAATGATCGTACCAAGAGAGTTTTATAATTTATTATCGTAATCGGACGTTCGAAGGATACTCTCGCAGGTCGTCTATATTCGAAGCAATCTAAAATTTCTACTCACAATACAGTCCATCAACGTCGACGTGCTAGTATGCGGCGGAGGAATGTCCGGGATGGCCCGTGCCGCCTTTGCAGCACAATCTGGAGCTGAAGTGCTCGTGGTTGAGAAGCAGAGTACCGTGGGCGGATCATCCAACTACTCTGCAGGCATGTTGTAGGGAGAAACCCGACTGCAGCGCTGCATATCCGCCTTGTTTTCCAATGCGGGTGATATCGATCGCCTCCAGAAAAGCTCGTGAGCATCAATGCAATATCGGGACTACCTCGTTACTTGACGAACTCGTCCAAACCCTTACAGGGTAGGGAGTTGACAGCGTCAGCGCCAAGAGAACAATTGATGAGTACGACAGGCTGGTCCGCCAAAAAAAGAACCCGGAGTAGGGCTCGACGCCCCGGTCGGCAGAGAAGGCGCACCCCCTGCTCCGATAGTTGAAGGCCAGGGTCCATTCCACGCAATAGAAGTGCAACCATCATAAGAAATCCACTTTGGACCATTTCCAGAATAAGACTAATAACATTTGAAGTATCACATCCACATACATAGCTGGCTCGGTCAGATAAGAGAATGTTGCGTTGAATATTGATGATTGATAAACTACTGACCACAAGACACAAGCCCAGTCATAAACGACCGTGATTCTGTGCCTTGACCTGCTACAGTACCGAAATTAAATTAGCTCAGCTAGATAGCCGAGAATTTGAAGAAAGCTCTTGTTAGAAGGCCCCGCGCTCAGAGTCACTGTCAAATATTGACCTTGGTTATATCAACAAGATTGATGCGCGGGTTTTCCATGGAAGCAATACTCAACCTCCAAAACTCACCTCATCTCGAGTGACTCGGCAAAGTATAATGTTCAGTCAGAGAATGCGTCCTTTCAACTGGGTGAGGGCAGTTCACAATAGGCCCTCAAAGAGTGCCCGACTGGTAGCTGGGTGAAAGATCTCGCACCAACGAGGTACTCTACCCAGACTCTGTGCAAAGCAGAGCGCGGTTGGATCAGGAGAAGGTAGATATATAATTTAAATAAGATACCCGTCACGCAGCCGTGCACCGCCAGCTACAGGATCATCGTCGTCTTATGGCTGGGCGATCCGCAGTGTGGAATGGAGATCGAGCAGTGTCAAATGCGGATCAACCGGCTTTTCAGCGGATGGAAGGCACGCACCCGCCGTCTCCAAGGCAATCTGGCTGCGCGCATTGATGTAACAAGATGCCTTAAGATCGACGTCGCCAATACCTCCTGCTCGAGGCGACAAGGAGGCTCTTGGAAAAGACCAATCACGATTGTGTTGGGCAAGTGGACTACATGCTACAATTGAGCTTTCCGTCATTGTATACGAAGATGTGGGTAGGGTATGCGCGGCATAGCAGATGACATATTCTTGAATACAAAGAAGCCAGGAGCGAGAATACATGATTAAAATTTAGCATAGGTTATTGCTCCTATGCCACAAATTAATCCAAGGTTGAAGATAACTCTGTTCGTTGCAGTATTGGGCCTTCAATGATTTCTCCAAATAGCCGAGGAAGAGGGCGAGAGGGCGCTTCCTGAACCATAGATTGGCTTTCTTTTTGAATCAGTGGTGAAAAATGTCTGGAAATTTCATTAGTGGACATCGTTGTAAGCAGTGGCGGTCCTTATACAAGCCTGTGCCTCGTCGAGCGAACCAGGGCGCGGCGGTGGGATCCACATAGCAGAAGCTCTGTCACATTTTTGACGCTAGATTGCCTGGTAGTCAAATCCGTACCGTCTTGGAGTAGCTGCAGCTCTGTGTGTGTCGTCATACGCAACTCTAGGTTCACAGTATGGGGGCAGGGATTTCCATTGTCCGGTAATCCAATGCTCACGGTAGAGAGGACCGTATTTGATGGCAACAAAGACATAGTTAGCCATGGCAGGATGTAAGCCTATAATAACGAAGCAAAGACAGGCAGACGCAGTTCTTTGTGTGGACCGTCTGAGACATAGCCTCACCTAATATAAGTCTGGCATTGGCAAGAAATCATTTCCACTTTTTTGCCCGCGCAGGGAGGTGCGCCATGAGATTCCGTCTTTCGAGCTGCTAGACCTCATTCTACACAATGAATCGGGAAGACGAAAAACAATCATGAGAGTGTATCACGTCGTAGCAAAACTGTGCTCGTTTGTCGAAGCAATCATCACTATCATAATACCGGGCGTGTCACTCGTGGGAGCCATCGACGTCCGAGAACTCGCAGGCTGACTCGTTGATATTCCCGGTGGCATATGAATTTCAACCGCACTTTCATGAAGAGCAAATTTGCTCGCCCAACGAAATGCCACCTTAACTAGGCTTTTTCAAGCAACACTGTCACCCATACCAGTAGTAATATCATTCGGGCACTTCGAATAGTTCTAGAAATCGGTCATACCCATCACAGTATTCGATGTATTATCAGAAGATAACCGGCATGGCCATGACGGGACTTTGCTTGATGATCCTGTTAGGTAGTATCCACAGGGAGCATATTCCAGGAGTGTCAACACCTTAACGATGCGCATATTTAGAGGACCTATCGCGACTAACTCAGTTCAAGCAGCGGCTTGTTATGTGAATAGAAGATGATAGAATGTATGAGTCCTTCTTATAGCTCACAGTCGGCGGAATTGCCAGGCTTAACCTACGTCGACCCACAAATGGCACCATGTGGTAGGGGCTGGCTTGCAAGTATCAGTAGTCACCCTGCAATAATTCTTGGTACAGTCACTTGTAATTGAACTATGTCGCCATCTGCGAATCTTATATCCGATTCGCCTTTATCTTCCCCCAGCGAGCTACGGTCGTCAAGCTGTGATTATTGATAGTCGCATCATACGCAATCATTATCACCAATAGGGGTTGATAGTCAGTACTACAATTTCGTATGGATGTCTTTCTGTTATATGACGCCCGAGTCTCCGTTCGTTGCGCGGTACAATAGGTATTCAAAAAGCCTTCAAAGATACCGGACTTCCCCCAACGACTTTTGGGAAGTTTTTAACCGGCCTCTATATGTACATGGATGGAACTGTCAGATGAGCGCCTTCCCAGGTCTATCTAGAACAAAAAGCTTGGCATGAGCGGATACCAGTGTTGAGGGAGTCTGGCTGGCGTGGTAGGACCTATCTAACATCAATGACTATAAGGTTACTAACTAGGAGGAAAGAGTGAAAGCGTATATGGCCGTTCCGGCCTGGCTTTATTTCATATTTTAACAGCAACTACGAAGGGAAAAAGTACCCCACATAAGTTCCTGTATCCAGCCAACGTGTCTGCACAAATATCACAATTCAAAGGTCCCCGAGAGCAACAAAACTGGACACTAGGCTCCAGCAAACATATCAGTATTCGTCAGCAAAATACAATCTAACTGAGAGATGAGAGATATACAAGCATGCATTGTTCGCATTTGCGCAGACCTTGACAGGTTGCCAAAACAGACGGGACTTCTGAAGTCATTGCCATGGTTTGCTGTAAGAGTCGGCAACACGACCGTTGCGAGTATAGGTACTATCTACTAAATGGCCAATCACATGTGGGACCCCAAGCGGCAGCAAGGAATATGGCAACCAACAAAAGCAGTGCCAGCATATCTCCCGCGATCGTTTTCTCTTTCATTTCGGAGCAGGTGTGACATTGATGTCGCGGGAGCCAAACGGGCTGATTATTTCGTTGGTGTTCAGCCGGGGGTCGCCCGCGCGAGAGAAGTATATTGGCCTGTCTCTGTTTTCTTTTGCAAACCAGAGAGCAGTTTTGGCGACGATTGATTAGACACATATTACGATTATGTATGTGAAGTCAAATTGTCAAATTCTTATATACCAGTCTTAACTAAGTAGCTTTGACGATTTGCCGATTTCATATCGTCAAAATCCCGAATAGGCAAATCGTGAACAGCCCTAGTAATCTGGGTCCAGAGGGCAGCAGGGGTTGTCGTTGGGACGATGCGTACGCGGCACTGCGTTCCTGCTCTAAGTCCTCATGACGCAACCAACTCATCCCCTCGCCTTTTCACTCATATCTAGGCGTGCCATGGGGTATCATTATTGCGTTTTGGTTTGGTGTACCAGTTGGTCTTGCATGTGTGCCCCGGGGATGTAAGAGCGTCTCCTGTTCTTGACACTGATCTGGATAGCATGGGTGGTTATGTCTACATATAGTTATATATATCATTAACCGTGTGTGGACGAGGACTGTGATACACGCATTCATCCATTTCGAGAGATACAGTAAGGCTCGCTGAGCTGGTAATCTAAGGTAGCCACATGTCAAGAATGCGAAGAACCCTGTGTTGATCTCATTACTCGACTTTCTAAGCCAAAGAGGGCGAAACTTGAGCAAGTAATATTCGTTCCATGCGTGTTTGGAGGCTTCGAGTTGAACCCCTGAACGACTTCCCAAAGGAGGCTAGACTCGGACCTTCCCGAACACCAAAATCTGATGGCCTCAAGGCACTAACAAACTGACCTGGCCACCTCGTCATTGCGATTTGCGAGGTCCTCTACTTACGCAGTGACAGGACAGATCGTCTAAAAGGGTCTTTCGTGCGCCATTCACCACTACAGCTGGACTACATCCAGCAGATTATGATTTGAACGGGTCTTGGTACGGTACTATACGAACTTGACAGACGTAGTAGAATATGATGCTGTGGATCAGTTAGTTCGTTAAGTAATCATCCGCTAAATCCTCGTCCCTAGCGGTGATTTGCAGACGACGACCATACTATCGCTATCTGTCAATATCAGCCATGTCCCCGTGTTCTTTTCAGCTGGCTGCCATGCTCATCGGTCCGCAACCCCTTGGGCTACTCTTACTTCAAAACTCGAGGATACGAATTATCCTCTCATTGTAGAATACAGGATGTTGAAGCAAGCAGTCAAGGAAATGAGGGATTAACCCACACCACAGTAAGACCACTGTATCATGGTAGCTTTTGGGACCCAAGGCAAGAATGTGGCGGTCTGGCTAGTTTCCAATGTCTACTGCCGGTCAGCCCTCGCGGCAGCAATATCTCCATGCGGCCGCTTTAAGTGTCGTGTCCACCTACCATATGCTGCTTTCAACTGTAATATGGGAGGGTATACTCCAAAGGTATTTAATATATAGTGATACCAAGTGTGATGTATTGGAGCGGCTAATGATTCTTGCGGCCATGAACTCCTGTACACTGTCTCAGGTAAACTCAGTCACAGTGTCCCTCTTGAGTCCGGCGTCCATTACCGGGCACACTCGCTATATAGAGATGCTGTTGGAAGTTGACTATATGCTGTGGGTCTATAATATCATTGCCAGCGTTGCATACTGGGTGCTCCTTGCGGGATATCTAGTAATTCCTGGAATATTCATTTTCTTGCAGAAGTCGGAAAAACTCGAGCAGGCTCTTATTAGTAATGGTGTTAATAAGACTGTGTTAAATAAAATTTAGAATCTGCTTTTTCTTGTGATTGCCTGTGTGTTCTTTGCAGTAGGAACTATGCTTCTGATATGGCTTTGCTGGACATGGCGCAGCAATTACATTTGGCTTGTCGGTCGGGTATTTATGTATGCAGACCCAGCTATGTATCTGTACACCCATTGTTCTGTATGAAAGCTGATTAGAATTTAGGCCAGTTATGATGAATGCAGCTGCGGGCCTTGCTATAACATTGATTAATATATACACCGCGTAATCAGTTACTTGGTCTATCATGGCTCTGGTCACTACAGTGATGGTCGGAAGTGCTTTTTTAATTTCATTATTACTGACAGTTCTGTATAAATACATCTTGTTAAAGAAGGTCGAGGAGGAGCATAAAATGGAAATGTGTACTAGAATACTTATGTTAATTGATAATTATTCTTGAACACGGGGGAATAATTCCTTATCAGAAAGTATTAATTACTTGGATGCTGGCAGGATTTGTGTGGAACTGGAAATTAGTTTCGCTCTCATACGCGTGGCCAACTTACAGATACTGTTGGATGATTAATTTCTGATCAATCATGCGCTTCCTGCTTGTACGTAGTGTGTGAGCTTGAATAAATGAAACAAAATTTTAATAGCGGCTGTCCTAAAGTACATTTAATTGCATCTGTGGTCTTCGTGCGGGATGTATGACCACGATTTAGGCCCCATGCTAATATTGGGGACTCGAGGACGGGAATAACCTTGTTCCTCTTGCCAGTGGTCCGATCTGTATAGCGTATAATGATGATCTAACTTATATTAAACTGCTTTCCTCTTCACGAGTTCACGACACGTTCGCGTTGCACTCCGTGTCAAGCAGTACGATTATCGGTCAGTGACAGTCATTTTTTTCCCAATAGATGCATCATTGTACATGCACTAGCTGTTGTCTGAGTTCATTATATTTGTTCATATTCTGCCAGCCATCAGGCCTATGAAATGCCTATTTCTTTTCGGAGTGCCCCTGGTATTTTTAACTATTTATTACAGAATCTTCTTTACACCTCCCATATCCCTGTCTGTGAGTTTGAATAGCATGTCTGATAAATAGAAGCTTTATTAGTATTATAGCTCTAACTAATATACTCCACATTTGCTGAAAACAGAATCCCAGCCGTCGTACTGACGTCCTAGGATGTTGAACGTGGGTGGGTGTGGAATCGCTACGTTAGTCGTCAGTTGTATAGTATAATCAGTAGGGATTCTGTGAGTAACTGGTTGGGGCCAGTCCTCCTGGACTTGTCAGAGCCCAAGGCAAATATTTACAGCAGCACGGCTTATCTTACCAATTCCTCAGCAGTCGGTGCGGGAAGATGAGGATGGGACTGATAGGTGTAAATCCAGCGGTTCGGCATTTCCAGAATGACCCAGCTGCGGATGGCGTACAGCTGCCAGAAGTCATTGATCCGCCGTAGCAGGTTATTGCGGTGTTTTCGAAGTTGTTCCTGCTTCACACGGCTCTGAGAAGAGGTCATCTACATAAAGTTAGGAAGCAGCTGGTGACCTGACCTTGATTAGTAAGTACCAACTGACGCAGGGAATGCAGATTATGTAATATATACCATGAAATAGGACACAGGTCATCGTTTATGTGACAGCATAGAAGTATTATATGAATTATACCAGAATGTTTCTGGAGGGATACCTCGCGGGTATTCAGGATTTAGTATAAAAACAGACTTTTATATACTGCTGTGATCACCCGGCTAATTAATACCTTCCAGTTAAATGCAGTTTATATAAGAGTTGACTAGTGTAGCTGACTTCACTGTAATCCACTATTTGCTATCCACTGTAAAGTGATGCGAATATCCTTATAATCAGTGGGTTAAGAGTAGAAATGCTAGAATATCAAGTATTTGTTATCATGAAAGTAAGGTAAGCTAGTATTTAGTATATAATTAATCTCAGAAGCAATTGTATGGTTACTTTATAATTTACAGTCTAGGGAATTTATAACAGCTGCGGGTAATTTTCTGGTAGTTACTAAACTGACTGCTCAGAGATGAGAAAAGGTATATTATATATACTAATTACTAGTCCTATTACCCAGCCCCCCAATTTCTTAGAGTGCTACAAGTAGGAATCTATATCTAGCCTGTATATTATTACATCAGATAATACATAGTTCTGTTAAAGACACCTATTTCCTGGCATTTACCAACCATAATAGTCAGTCAGTGACGGAATTTTCTTCCCTTGCCTGCTGGTACTTGTTCTACGGTACATAAGTATCATCCACACGAGTGTCATGCAAACTGCTCTATAATCCAACGCCCGTGACAATGGATGAAATCCTCGAGATTATCAGATAGATCAGTCAACAACAGGGCCAAAACACGTACTACCGCTCGTGCTACTTTTTCCTGAAGGATCTGCAGGATCTGATTCCGTACGTACTCCACAGGCTGAACAACCTACACAGGGGACAGTGTGTAGCAGGCCAGGACATGGACACAGCCATAGCAATTGCGACTGACCTGCATGCCGCTGTCGACTCGCTCAGGATGAGAAACCACAAGAGTACCCTAAGGTAGAAGGAGTTTCTCTAGATTAGTAGGTCATTCACCGAGTCATTCCACTGGCAGGGGCCAAGTATTGACGGCACGCCTGTTCACAATACAGAAGACTGTTCCTGAATATGTAACTCTGTCGGCGTTGCTTTCTCCTCTGTTTACATTTCTGTCAGGGGTCGACCAATGACATTCAATGCACATGGACGAAGCCAAGCGAGGAAACAGTGGCTTGCATTCCAAAATAAACCTGCTCGATACTTTCAGAAATTGTGCAAGGAAATACAAAGCAATGAAACATATTGTATAGTAAAACTGCACAGTACCCTTGTAATCTATAAAGAAGGACATATACTGTGCGCTCTCTGATTTAATTTTATATGCTCATTTCGGTAGACACATCAGAAGAACAAGAGCTATCTAGCACCACTGACATTCGCTGTTGAAGGGAGACAAGATTAGGTAGTAACAATCCAAATATAATCACACAATGGACCGAGTGACCGCACGACCGACAGTCCCAGGACAAGCAATGAGCCGAGCATTGGTTTTGGCAAAGACACCCCGCTGGTATAAATCCGTGGAAGGAAGATTTCTGGCAAGACCCTAAATACTCTAACTCCTAGGCCTCAAATTGTGGGGGACACCGCCCATCCAGTTACTGTATCGTGTAAAGCAATGAGTCCGAATCAGCCACGCAATGTTAAAATGATAATGACTACTCGCAGCATGCATAGCATCTACTCCGTCGTTATCCACCACGTCAATTAGAATCCGGTTGTCCTCCAGCAGCCGCTGCATAATTTGAGCCTGACCCGCCTGGGCCGCCCGTCATAACGCAGTGCGTCCCCACCTGTCGGCGCCATTCCGGTCAGTCTGCCAGATTTCTAACAGACGCGCAACCACGTCCACATGTCCTTGGAGAGCGGCCAGGGAGAGAGCAGAATCCCCTAGGTAGATCCGGACATTGACATCCAGCCGCGGGACGCAATTCAGCAACCGCATGGCTACATCGGAATGACCGCGCGTGTAATTACGGCCAGGAGCGGAGACGAATAAGGCCTCCATCCCTGATTAATATCAATATCTCCATACTGCAGCAGGCGCTCCACGACCTGGATATGTCCTTGCGAAGCAGCTGACCACAGCGGTGGCTGTTCGCTTTTCTCTGCTGCATTCACCCGCACGTCAGATCGACCCAGCAGGAGCTCCACCATTGGCAAGTTACCTGTGAAGCAGATTCAGCTATATCTTTCCTCCAATGTGAGACTAACTTCGGGTATTGGCGGCCATATAAAGCCTGTCCGAGTCCCCCAACTCAACCTCTAATTTATACACTGCATATTAGATAGTCTTCTTGCTTGATTTGTTTCACCATCTCTCTCTATTATTCACTGTCACTTTGAACCACATATGTCCCCTTTCTCGAGCCCGGCCGTTCCTGTCCAAAGAGATCACCGGACTTTGCCGGCCGGCCACCCCCAGAGTGCCGCGGAACTAGGAGTGCTGCCAACATCCCCAGACCCTCCCCCTGTAAAAAATAATGATGAGGACGACGGCAGTATTTCCTCAGTATATCTACAAAGCCCATCTGCAGGAAATTCTATTGAAATTAATACTTTTAGTAATATAGAAAGAAACTCTAATAGTTTCTTACATGGCTCACACCATTTAGAAGATAGTATCAGTAAGTTTCAGCTTTACTATAATTTCAATAATTATTCTGATTCTAAATAAGATGATCTGATTATCCTTAATACTACAACTACAACACCCAGTTATATAACTAATGTTATAGATACTGGTTCAAACAGCCACCAGCAAAAGAAGTATAATACTGGCAGTAAGTACTGAATTTCCCATCTTTATAAATTATATAATTACTGAAAGTGTACAGGCTGCTTCCTTCAGGAGCATTATGAATACAAGATATACTTTTATAAAATAGTAAATCTTATATTAGACTGTGGTCATGTTTATTACTATGATTATTTTAATAAATTCTTTCATAATTCTATACTCTTTAAAGCCCTGGGAAATCCTCTATTAGCTGTTCAGTATCTAAGAAAACAACAGTGCAAATTATATTATTTATTTTATAAGAAGACTCTTCCCGGCTGTTTTACTTATCCAGATAATTATAAACATCTTATCAGCTTCTATGTTTCTATATATTGCCCAGATTCAGAATTCTCTCACTGTTTTGTTGATGACTACATGGTGTAAGGTATCAAATTAAGGATGCTGTAATATCAGAATATTCTTTTATAGAATTCTGGAGGATATTTTATATAGTATTTACTTTATACATCTGTCATGCAATGTTCCGAACATGTCAAGTATTGGATATTATATAATAGCTATAATTATTCCTTAGTAGGCGAGCGATATAACTCTTATATTAATAATTAATATCTGTTAATCCAGGTAGAATAGAATAATACTAATTATAATATAGTTATAGATCAGCTCAGTTAATTAAGTCTTAATTTAAACCCCAAACCCGCCTCAGTCAGCAAAGAATGGGAACTACCGAAAATCTTGCTGAATATCACAGGATATCATCATAAACAAAAGGTAATAAAAAATAAATATATAAATAAAAATATAGTATATATCATATAATATCTCTTGAAAAATATGTAATGGTATACAGTCTTCTGGATTCTGTACTGGATTAACTAACAAGTCTATATTAGTCTATGAAGAGTCAGAATCAGAAGAGCCTAGTCAAGTATAGCTCAGAATTTACTTTATAAAAAAGTAGGTCAGAGCTCTTGTCTCAGGGAATATATTAAAATAATATTAGATTATAATTACTCTTGTGTTCATATTTAATTTGATAATATAGTAAGGGTATATATTACCAACACTAAGAAAAATGCTTATACATATATATAAATCAGGAACTGAGCAATTGATTACAGGTTATAAAGAGTCATGGGTCACAGTACAAGGCACAACACATACTATTCAATATTCTATTATCCATGAGAAATATATTATTATTATTGTTACCACAGTGATGACTCTTGGATTGGAAAGGATTCTGGGGCGTAGCTAATTCACTAGATTAATAAAGCCTATAGTAATGTAAAGCTCGGTGAGTACTATACTGTTTAAATGAGATAATAATAACTGGTTGATACAACAGTCATTGTGGAGAAGGTAGAGAACCAGACATAGACTGACTCCAAAGAGGATCCTATTTCAAACCAGCACAGGATACCGCGGATCAGAATATAACAGGTCTTTCACCACAAGAATGAAACACATGAACTGGTTTGAACAGATGCCCAGAAGTAAAAGGGCTTCCGCAGATTTAGATCTTAGATACTAGAGTAGGTGAGTATAGCACTTAAAATCAGACCTACATGCCTAATATACCTGAACCCACGTGTATCCATGATACTATGCGTTCTGCGTTAGAGAATGTAGTTGTGCAGGGGTCAAATAGCCTTCTGTTATGATCTAGCTGGGCGGTTAAAGTATGCTCTTCAGTGTATTCCTAGTTAGCGGATGGTCCAAACCATGGTGTCGGATGTGGGTTTGGTCTAGTAGCTTAACTATAGAAATATGCATGCATGGGTGAAAAGGCAAATTCTACAGCATTGGTTTTTAAAGATATATTAAAATAAAAAGCCTCAGGGCGTAAAATAGCTCATAGAAGAAATAAGTGATTGAAAGGACAGTAAATAGATCTATCTAAATTAGATTCAGAATAAATATTTTATAGTATAAAGAATCTCATGATTAATTAGATTATTAGAAGTCATCCATCACCGAAGAATTTATTTGGTTGATTTGGTAGAAGCATCACATCCGATGATGATCAATGTGCAGATGGGTAACAGTATATTGATCCTGTTAATGAGTAATAATTTTCTGACTATAGTATAGTTATAAATTACTGTGCTTCTGTGGCTTAATCTATTATAATATTAAATCTAAGTTAGCTAAGCTAGATGACTGGGCTTTTAAGAGAAAGTTTTTATTAGAAGTTCCTGTACTCAAAGACTAGTTAAATATTAATCTTGGTTATATTAATAAGACTAAGTGTATGTTTTCTTTAAAGATAAAAATCAATATTCCAAGCTTTCCTCATCTATCATTCAAGCAGAATACAGGTTCCAAAACTGACCAGCCTGGACTGTATTTAAATAAAAACCACAATTTCCCTCGCGAGTACGCGAACGGTCAAGTTGAGAGATAAGATTACCCGTTTATTTCAAAGGGTTTTCATTCTGCCTTGACTAGCATCATCATCATCATCATCATCATCATGCGGCTTCACGCTGAATAGGGTCCGACAAAGTTATAGGCGATCGTCTGTTACTCCTCCAAATGTGGTGGAAGCCCCTTGAGATGCCGGGTCGCGGTCTATTATAAATCCCACCCGGGGAGCTGGATATTCTGCTGACCAAGGGCAGGGCAACTGGGACCACTAACAAACTGGTAGGAAGAATTGGCCGGGTGGGGATAGTCAATTAATCAACTAAACCGCCGTCTTGAGAACGGGTACGTACCGTGAGAATCTGCGGGGATATGGGTACCTGTTCATAGAGCAAAATTGCCCGGGCGGCCAGTATCCTGTTCCTAACCACGTAAAGTGCCTCACTACCGCTTGGTATCGAAGTATCTGATCTATATAAAGTCACCTTCATAGACCCATTTAAGGACAGCCAGCTTTTATGTTATAATATTTTGTAATATTCTCTGTCTTAAAGCAATATAATAGATTACTATTTAATATGACTTTTTATGTTCTATACTTTGCTAGTTCTCTGACTGGAGTGAGAAGGCTGATCTCTCCATGTGAAATCTAGTTAATATTATCAGGCCCAGTGAGGATAAGATATTATTAGGCTAGAAGATTTTTTAATAGTATCCTCAAGTCTTTCTTGCAGATACAGGTCTGCTGAAGTAGGAGTTACAGCAAGCCTGTATACCTACTAAATGACAACAAGTGCTCGTTTTGACTTGTTGCCACGGAAAAAACTCACTACAATTTAGGAGGTGCAGCTACAGGTAAGCAACCAAGTTTTATAGATTTTTATTTTTTTTAAGATTGGGCAGAATGCATCCTCCATGATTCAGGCTGGAATATATTCTATTTCTTCTACTAAGAATAGCTAATAGAATTCCTGCTACACAGCTTCTTTTTCTTTACTTCTGCAGCAGTATATTAATAGCTCTCTTCTGAAATCTATCTTTTCCAGTCCAGACCTCTTTTTCCGTTGTCCAGGCGAATTTGTGTATTTATTATAATTTAACATAATCTGCTGTTAAATTATGAGTGCAGACACCTGCCCAAAATAGGCTGAAAAATTTGGTTTATTAGAGTTGGCATATTAACTTTATAAAAAAATCCATCTCAGTACTGCTTCTCACTGCTATCTAATCGGCTCTATTGTTTGATGGGAAGCGGGTGAGTAATTATATAAATACAGGCCAGTATTCCTTTTAATAATAATATATATTAGGTAGCATCTCTGCTTTCTGTATATGTATCTGAATTACTATTTTAATATCTAGACTTGCTCCCCTGTGAAGTATGGAGGAGGATATAAAATTAATTATTTACTTTATTATTATTTACTCTGTACCTGGAGAAGATTATGGTATTCTTCCAGATACTATGAATTTAGCTGTTGAAGATAAATTATTTAGTAAGCCGGGGAAATAAAATAATATATCTCTGTCTTATAATTAATGTCAGGATAGAAGTGCGCTTGCGGTCTGTCTAACAAGCAAAAACATTATTTGACCGCTTCCAGAGGATCATTCCTGTACTGTCAAAGGTAATTCTGAACCTCTGCTGCACGGTACCGACAGAGAGGGGCATCCTTGGCGAATACAGCTGATAGTCAGACAATATGATTCAATGTCTCTGCGCAAGCTGGCAAGGAATGTGGGCGAATCTGTCCTCCAGCACCCAGAATACCCATGACGTGCCTGACGGCGGCTGCATGAAGAATAATATGCAAATTATTCTTAGATAACTCTAGCCAAAGTGAATCTCCGTATCAACGTGCCCTGGGCAAAGGAGAGCGTTATCCAGCTGCTTAATAATATTGGTAGTCATGATCAAGAATAGCCTCCCTGCGCAAATATATTATCACTACTATTAAGTAAGACAGGCAGAGGATAATTTTACTGTCAGCTTCCATTTTATTATTCTTCAAATATTGTCGAGGATGTGATGCTGATGTATTTATAATAAAGTAATAAACAAAACAGCTAGATCATATATTATAATTCTAACCACTAATAGCCTTTATTATAAGAGTAATTAGTAGGCATCTCCGTGTCTGTTTCCATTTAATGGTTCTATTAATAAGAGATAGGCCTCACACTACTTGAGGCTTTAAGTGATAGTATAAGATAGATTAACTGCCAGGTGTATTAGCAAGAGGAAGTACTTGCTATAATCTATAATAAAAAAATAGTCTGGAGAATATTTAAAATAGATAAGATAATATATGCTTTTCTCTACTTATTAATAAGCTTTAATAAGTAATAACTGCATGGTATCAACTCCTTAAAGCCTAGATTTTACAGTAATACCATTATATATATAAATAGATAGTCTATAAGAGAAATAAGCCTATTCTCTCTATTTAGAAGAGTCTTTATTAACTAATTACTTAATTAATATAATTTATCTCAGTAAGATCATACCACGGAACCATCCTTACAGTGCTTATATTAACAGAGTATGGGTGTTAAGAGTGACACAATTAAAATAGTTAATTTATTACAATGATTCTATTTCATAAGAGTTAGAACAGGGATCGAACTTTTATAACTACTATATAGTAAATTTAGGCATTATCAAGCCGGCGCATTTTGTGAGGACAAATAAGCCTGAAACTGACATATATTTCCGCCTGAGGCAACCAATGGGCTGCGGCCGAAGAAGTAAATCAGCTGGTAAATAACCCGATACATGTCCCTTGGCATGACTTTCCCCAACTACAGGAAATAAGTTTAGAAAAAGTTTAACTATATCACTGCTTTCAGCTCGTGCCTATTATCCTCTTCTGATACCCAAATTGATTATATTATCATGAATATCCAGAACAGACTGATCTATTCAAAAGCATATCTTCAGAATTTCAAGTAAAACATAGTAAGCAACTTTATTATAAAGATTATTAAGATTTTACGAGATGATGAAGCTCTTTAACATGAGTTTGAAATCTAAGATTGAGTTGTCTTCAATAATCACGCAAACCCGTCAGAACTTTGCTGGAGAACAGCCTGAAGGAATTAAATCTTAAGAATACGCAGACATCCTAACTACCAGTAAACACAAGGCTTAGAAGAGGCTGAGGAAAGGAAAAAGAAACTATAAAGAAATAGAAAAGAAATAGTACTATATAATAATATAATCAGCGCGCTGACTAATTTTGTATGTATCTTGCAGCAGAAACAGCAAATACTCGTGTATGCAGTAGAGTAAGAGTTCAAAGCACTATATAAAGTAATGATCCCTGAATTAATGGCGAATATCTTAACGTGTTGAGAGACATTTCCAAAAATTTCTGTCAAGGCCCGCGGGCGTCTGTGTCAACTCGGGCGCAGCTCACTCATCCGCTGAAGGCAGTGTCAGTGATCAAGAATTGTATATGCTATCTACTTCTGCCGCACCCGCGTCGCGCAATTAATCAAGCCGCAGCATCGGCAACAATCACCTGTCAACCATGGGAGGCGAAAGGACACAAGCCGGCCAAGACTATAAAGAGACTTCTCAGAAAGATTAATATTTTATATAACTATACTGTATTATTACCTATATCCGCGGCTTGGTTAACCGAGGATCTCTGGATTAAACATGCTCCAGCTGGAAACCTCACAGTGGTCAGTAATATACTATCAGACTGTAGAAATTTATATACCAGCTTTATTATTAACCTGCCTGAAATTAAGATCTCAGATTTAAACAGCTGCACGTGTGTGATCAGACAGAATATCTTATTAAAGCCACTTTCATTTCCCGCACATAGTCTGATTATAAATACTATAATTATGAAGAACCAGTATTATTTTTAAGTAAAAATAAATATTTACCACCAGCTTAGGAACTTACAGGAATAATATATTCCTGTCTGTAGATTCTAAACCTCATATTATATATTAGTACCACAGAAAATTAATGGCGTAGATGATAATCTTGGAATAATCTGGGACATGGTTTTAATATATCTTTTATGACAGGGATTTCTGCTTCTTTTATCAAGAGCGCGACAAAGCTCTGACTGTATTCCAACAGCACGGACTTATTCGCTGAGATAATGAATAGTATAATATACTGCAAGAGGACCTGATTGGCCATTTAGTTATTAGAGACCTGGAGAATATAAAATAATGGAAGCGCCTTGGGACTTTTAATTATATTTCAAACAGTAAGCAGTGTACTCACTGCATCAGAGTGATGAAATATAAGCCCGGCTTTGAAAAGATAGAAAATAAGTAATATAGCAGGATCTCAAGCTTGTAACAATTAATTTGGAAATATTGCAAAGTATACCGCCACAAGACGTCGTGGTTTATCTTAGACCGGTTACTAAATACGCATTTTGCAACATGAATCGTACATGTTGTAAGAGCCTGACTGCACGGCAGGCTTGAGCGGTGGAACTGTTACACAACTTTCTAGGTAAGCTACTAGAGATACATACTTCCTATTAACCAGTCTCTGTTGACCGAGATCCTTCAAAAATCATATATTTAATTTCACAGCTAGCTCTGAGTATTTATATCTTATATAGTTAACATCCGCCTCCATAAGAATATATTTAGTTATCTAATAATAGCTCAGATTATCTTCTCTAATATTAATATTCTGATAAGATTATTTAAAGTTTCTTTCCTTTCTTAGATACTAATAGAATCCCATAACTGCTTGCCACTGAACATAATGATATGATTACTGGCTTCACAGTCCGTGATCTCAAGGTGGTCTAAACAAAGTTCATCCTGAATGGTCTTAAGTAATGATTTCCAGGACTCTAGAGTTGGAAGTTCGATTAATTCCAGATATATATTATACAAAGTTATTTTATGGACAAGAAATAGCCTAGCTAAATAGTCTTCTGTACTACTGACTGTGTTAATCTCCAAGACGTGGAGATTCTTGAGATAAATACCATCACTTAGCGCTTTAAGATCCCCTGTTTAAATACGAGAATCAAACCCTAGACGTAGCACTTCAAGCCCGGAAAACTGTATAATAAATTATATTAGATGTCTTGCCCAGGGTAATGCACTTTCCCTTTCTGGTAGGCCAACTGTGATATGTAAGATTATGAGTATCAAAGTAATAGAATTTATAGTAAGACAGAAATCTGGAAGCTGTAGTATTTCTGGATCTACTGGAACTCTAGATAATCTTATATAGAGTTTAAACTACTGCAGTAGAACACAACCTGCAGTAATAGTAGTGAAAATAATATGAATAGTATAAATAAAGAATTTCCGGCTTTCTGAACTATCTAATGTAGAGTTTAGTTTAATACTAATTAATTTCTCAAGAGAACGAGCTCTCTAAGAATAATAGTTAATATTATCCTTAATAAATATTATCTTGCAGTTTGTTGCCTTGGAAAGGGCTTGTGCGAGACATGCAGTATTATAGTCTGATACTACCAGATACTGCCAGATAGTCCTGCTCAGCTAAATGTTATTCATAGCTGATTTTATCCACCGCAGCAGCTTCTTTATTCCGGGGATTGGCTAGATAATGTGCTGTAAGGTGATCAGGGTAGATTACACAAATATATAATATACTACTACAAGCAGGGTGAGTAGCTATATTTTAAAAGATTTCAAGACTATATCAGCTTAAAATGTAGCATCATATCTTAAAAAATTTCATAATAAAATCCTGGAATAACCTTGCTCGGAGACTTCTGTTGGCAAGATGAAAATTAAGAAAATAACTACTTTTTAATTTTCTTACAATCATGCCCACAATCTCTATCAGAAGTTTATCTATATAACTGGATTATAGCAGGTGCTCACTATTATTAAGCTTTATAATAGTTTGACGGAAACTAGTCAACAGGCTGTTACATGGTTGGGATAACGAGAGTTATGGAGGCGATGCAGAGCAGGACTGCTTTTGGACGCGGCTGACCTGGCTCCCAAGACAGATGGGACGCAGATCGCCGCTTGTTTTTCCTGGGGAGTGGCGGCTCGTACACTGTTTATACGATCCGTGATGGAGGATCTAAGAACACCGAAGCCCTCTCTCAATGATTGGTTCTTCGGTGTATGAAGAGTTGCGTTGATCTCGATGTGATAGAAATTAGAACCTTCAAAGCGTACAGGGACTTTTTGTTACAGTAATTTATGATCACATGACTCGGGATTTGTGTGGGAAGCGACCGATTGTTCTCCTATTGGGTGGCCGGTAGGCCAGCTATTTGGGTGTAATTGCTTACTAAGTTATGACTAAGCGAGGTCGAACCCCAGGGCAGGCGGATGGGGACGTCCGTATGTTCCGACAATATGGGGGGACAAATAGATGTTACGGTTGTGGCGTTGAGTACACGGCCTGCTGCCTGGGTGAATTGTTACCTGGATACACGTGAGCGGCTAGTGTACAGTAGACCCCGCCAAATCGCGGGTTGGGTCTCGAACCCAACCCAAACGATAAACAACGGTAATACATACATCAATTACATTAAGATACCTCTTAAGAAGATCCAACATTTCACATGAATTTCCGTAATATATGAGGTCTTGGTGTTAAAGTGAGAATAGACTGATTCTAGTGTAACTTGACTTAACATTAAGGAGAGTTGTCTTTTACATGGGCAGGATAGCACATATATATATCTGTTCTCAATCCCTGCCATAAGGTTCAGCCCCATGGTACTTGTTGAATATCACGGTGGCTGTGATGAGTATCATGGTGGCTGAACCTTATGGCAGGGATGGGACCACACATATGTATGTGCTATCCCGCCCTTGTAAGAGATAACTCTTTAAGTAACAACAATCAATCAATCTATTCTCACCTCAACAGTACTCAACACTTGGGTCCTTGGCGGACTTCCGGGTAACCCATGGGTACTCCGATCGCAGGGTGCCTTTAAGAGTCGAGGGGTAGAATTAAGTGGCCAAACTACAGATGTCGTGTTTCGACTGAGCGCAGAGTTTATATGTTACAGTAGGCCTCTGGGAAGACTCTTCACGCTTAGTTTTCTCCTCACGACTTGTCGTGCCATTCCTCTGGCCACTTGCGAAAGACAGTCTGAAATTGCACGGTATCCAATCACTGATATCAAGTTACGGACGTTTCGCGTAGTCCCCACTACGGTTTCCTCTCACTGTGCTTGTGCATAGGCATCCACCGTGTTTCGGCAATAGGTATCGCTTCGCTTCACTCATTAATGTCGAAGGGCCAGATTGCCCTTAGGTTTGCTTCATTTGCTTCATCTTTGACCGGCTCATCCTCGTCCATATTCGGGGTGGATATAGCCACTCTTTGTGGGCTAAATGAGTCTCATAAAATTTGAAGTCTCTAGATCGGGTGTTGAAGTACGAAACACTAGAAGCGGGAATGAGTGGTCCTAACACTGAGAGATGTTAGCGCTCCTAATGCAAGTTGTGTTACAGCCAACCCAACTTCACTGGCAAGTGGTATACGTAACCCTGGGCCTGCGAGGCTGAGTACTCTTGGCGGTATTCTTCTCTTGAAACCCTCTAATGCATGGGCGAGACCTAAACTCTGTGCATATGCAAGCTGACACCGATGTCATTAGGCTTGTGCAAGGGTTGGAAGCCAGCCACTATGCATCCGTCCTTCCCCGGCATGGGGACAACGACGCTTTCCTGCATTCTCACTGCCATACATTGCTTCCTTAGCGTACTTTGCCAATCGAGTTTGGAAAATTCTAGTTGCAAGATATGTCTGACATCTTCCATCAGCTGGGTGTCAATTTCGAAAGGGAAGCTTGCGCGCAGTAATGCCAAAGGGATAGCTATGCTCGAACAATAGTTTGGACCCAAAAAGCACAAGCTAATTTGGATCACCGCGCGCTGGAAGGTAACAATACATGTATGCCCACATCTACGCTATAATCCTTCCCATCCCAGTTCGCCCCGTTCCACCATTTTATCAAAGGTTTGATTCGTGGCGTACTTGGCATTGATAAAGCGTTGCTGGGAATATGGAGTGAAACGACCTCGGAGTAGGCTGTGATGATAATATGAGCACATATACCCGGTGCTGCGCTGCGTCTGGGTTATCCGATGCGTAATAATAGTACAATAATAAGATATATTCTGTGTCTAACATGAGAGAAACGTTCATTCCCTTCCGAGTGCCACCGTGATAAAATAGATAGGATACAGTACGACTTTCTTTTCTAACAAACGAACATGAAAACAACTACGATTAGGGGAACTACCACCAGCAGTTCATATATATAGTAATAAGATAAACCATCATCACACCTAGTCTACACACACTCTTCCTCTGTCTGTATATATATATATATATTTATATATACTTAATATTTATAAGACCTAAACAGATGGAACTCAGCTCTCTCTCTTATTAGTATACTACTTATTTCAAACTAATGAATTTTCTTCTTCTTTCCCCAGTCTCTGCTCCCCACTTCCAGCATATAGTTATAAATATACTACTACTACTACTAAGTAGGCCAGTGGCCTAAATTGTGGGAAGTTATAGCAGGTCAACCAACAGTATATAAATATTATTAGTTAAGTTATCCAGTCATATTATAGTCTTACAGTACATAGTAATGGATAGACAAACCTCCAGCTTATCTTTGATAGCCATATACAAGAGCAAGACTGCTTAAGTATTCAAGACTTAAAAATACTTTAATAAACTGTAAAGCTCAGTCATGGGTGTATCTCTATTATAGTAAATTAAATTATTATCAAATATTTTCTAATTCTTTAATTATAAAGTCATACTCTTATATATTAAATATTAAGATATTATCTATTAGAAGGCTATCCTTTCTCCTGTTAAAAATAACTTAAGAATAATAAAAATATTCTGTTTTTTACGGCCCCCTCCCCCCGGGCCCACCTGCTATTCTAATAAAGGGAGATTTGTGATGCTTTAATTAAATATTACTTCATAACTAATTTATACTGGGAACAATGGATTGGAGATAATATATTTAAATATAACTGATAACTTGCCCAATAATTAACAGTATTAAATCGTGATGGGATGACTATTCTTTCCAGGGTCTGCAACTTAGTCTATATCAGTTGGTGAATTAACAAGTAACAGAAAGGTAACTAAGCTAGCTAGATATATATTATTATATGTATATATGCTTGATATTAATAATCCCAAGATCCTTGGTAATTGTATTAATAGCACAGTAGTAAATTACGTATAACCTGGAGTTTAGGCTGTCTATTACTAGTAACTAGGGTATTACTTGGATACTAAGATATCAGGATAAGCAGCTCATGCAATTCTGCAATATTATATAAGAGCCAGTTATGTCTATTCATCAAATAATCTATCTATTAATTACTTCAAGAATCTATCCAACTCGTCATCTTTCATCTGTCACGCCAACCAGGGAATCCCATCTACACTAGCATTCCCAAATCCGCCCACCTGTCCAGTCCACTCCACACATGCATATACATACACCCATCAAGCACGTCCTAAACCCTGTGGAAAATGCAAAATATACAAATTCGCTTTAAAACTGATAACCAAAATATCGCAATTGGTTGATAAAAGTTGTTTCATAGAGTCTTGCCTGCCTTTATTTTCTTTTGCATTTTCCCTTTCGCCTCTGCCCTGCCTTCGGGGGTGTTGTCAGGTGGCAGCCGTCAAAGGGCAGCTTTAATAAGTGCCGAAATAATCATACAGTCCAACTGCATGTCAATACATTCTAATAATATGTCAATATCGGGTTCTGCAGGTCGGAGGCGATATGCTATCTTGAAGACAGGTGTGATTGTGGCTCGGGATATTTTAAAATATAGTAGAACAGAATTATTAATGGCTCCTCTAATTATTGTTACTTATATCTGTTGGATTCTTTTTTTGTGCTTATGTGGTGAGCTCCGCAGCTGCGTATTACTGTCTGTATAGTATAGTATCTGTATACAGTGATTCTTCGAGCTCCTTATATGCTGTTCTTTTGAATAAGCAGATTTAAAGAATCTGTTATACTTGTTATATTAATGCCTAGGTGACTGAAAGTGCTGCTTCAGAGAATATTAATCAGGGAATTGTTGGTCGCAGGCAACGCAAAGAGGCATGTTAAACTGAGAAAATATTATCTGAAATAAAAATGAAGATTTAAAGTACTTCTACAAGGCTAATAATTATGTAACTTTAAACAGGGCTTTAATCTTAGCACTGCTGAGGAAGAGCAGTGTTTATAGTGGGTAGTATAGGGTGTGTCTCTCTAACTGGACAAAGTACAACTTTCAGGTCTGCTGAAATCAAGCTTTAGGGGGGGTTTCCCAATCATATTTCTCCCTCATAGTGCGGCGCGGTTTTTAGAATCTTCATTTCTGAAGACTTACGCGCATTTCGCCCAGTGAACTTCGTCCTGTGACGGCTGCGATGGGGTAGTTAAAGCCTAACTAAAGAATCATGTTTAATTGCTGGATAATATATCAGTGGTCATCCCGAGAGCGTGAAAAATAAATGCTAAATTATGAAGGGCGGACTGAGGTTTAGATATACTCTGTTGTATATAAAACTAGCATGTCTATCTTTGCAGCTGGTAGTTTTTTTATCAGAAAAGTCATATTTTTCTTAATATGGCGGATCTTCCGGAGAGTCATCCACTAACTCTGTGGTCAGGTAAGAAAGTATTGACCAGACCTGCTCTTGCCTTGGCTAGAGCCGGAGGAGCGTCTCAGCGACCGGCCGAACCAGATGTTGGAGAAACGCCAAAGCCAATATTATCTATAAATAAAAGTTACAAGGCTCTCTTAAATTGAACTACTATGAACAAGACCCGCGGGACGTGTACGAACCGCGAGCTAGAATTTGTCGCGGATAATAAATCACCCTGGCCCATTATTGAAAGTATAAACAGGAAGTCGTGAATATCTAATGCCTTTCCGGAGATTAATCCCAGATTTGAGGTCTTCTAAAGGTTACCAGTCAACTTTCTCATCCTATATTTCCACGCCTTCTGGAATTGTACTATGAAATGAGCCAGCTTTATCTCGTATGAGAGCTGATAGAGATCACGGTGGACAATATTCTAACTGCTCTGTGGCCGGTGAACGAGACTGAATTGGCGTGTGTTC